AAATACAGGCAAAATAAACAACTAAAACAACAGGGCCATCATGATAGGCGTAAAACACCTGGAGGGCAGCGCCTGTTCTGTGCCTCCAGAAGGTGTAGTTCAGAAGGTGAAGATGGAGGGAATGTAAATGTGGCTGCTATAGGGACCATTAAGGCTCCCAGTGTAATTTAGGCACGCTGGGTGTGGCTGTAAAATACAGCAATCTCCCCGGTGATGGCCAGGCATTGCAATGAAAGCCGGAATAGCTATAATAGCATATGATATGGCCCCATTCCTCTCGCCACCAGTTTGCCAACTACTTGGGAATTATGGGCAGTAGGGGGTCAGCCAGAGCACAATGCCATGTCTAGCAACTCTATAATGTAGTTTAGCAGCCACTTTGCAAAAAAACCAGACACCACTTGCTTCAGGACATGGAACTCTTCCTCTGAGCACAAAGAATATTTACAACCCATTTCAATGACAAAATCCCAGTCAAAACATTCTTTATCTGCTGCTTGACAATAGACTTTTCCCAAAGGGGGCATGTAATGCATTGACACCATATGATAACTTAGTTTGTTTGCATGAGTTTAACCTGCAGCCAACAGCTCTGCACCTTCACCCTAACTAGCTATACTTTCTGTTAACTAGAGCTTGTAAGGCCATCTGTAACAGCACCATCTGGTGACACCCAATAATATTCCAGGTGGTTGGGAAACATTGAAAAGTAAGGAGGCTGATGATCAATTAGTGCAGGAACTAAATCCCAAAAGAAGAAACAATCTCCTTTACCAAGGACATCACTAATCTGTTTTGATAGCTTGCACCTGTAAGCTGATCGGTGAGGTGACTTCCTTGTTCCCAAGCTGATTATAGATCACACATCTTGCTGCTGGTGTCTGTCTAGATCACTAGTGAAAGTTGAGCACTTTTAGTGGAGAAGGATGAAAAATCAGGTAAGTCTGGGCCCAGTTAGCCTTCTTCTCCCAATCAAATGAAGTGTGGCATTGACTGGGAAGTTGAGTTAAGGCTAGATGGCTGAGGATTAAACCCATGACATGGTGTCTCAAAGACAGTTGAGGAAGGTGAAGCTAAGGCAAATGGGAATTCTTGGGCCTTCCAGAAGGATATGGAAAAATCCCCTAAAAAATCCAAATGAGGGTGGATCCTAGTCACTGGCACCCACAATACCGACACACATACCAGGTACGGCTGAGAAATCGACTTACCCAATGGCCAAAGAAAAAAGGAATTCACTTGGATTCTGTATTGTCTGTATGCTGAGGAAGTCCCAGCAGCATTATGTGAGGAGCACCTGTTCACTGATCAGTGACCAGGGTTAGAAGGCCCAGCTAGGTATAAAGTGAGAAAGCAGAGACTGGAACAAGAGGGACTCACCCATCTGGGAAGCTGAGGGCCTTCTTTGAAATGCAAATATATTTGATGAATAAATATACTCTATGTAGCACTGAATCCATGTCGTGGTTCACTAACAAACTCACGCAATGATGGAAATAACACATTGCCCTTCCATAGCCTCTTTCTTCTAAGGAGCTCACGGCCACTCTACCACGGTGGGTATCGTTCTCTCTAATCTACAGCCAAGAGAAGCAGGACAGCGATTGTGAACTTGCGCCTGGTCACAGTGAGTCAGTGGGAGCAGAGGGTATTGCGTCAACATCTGCTGACTCCCAGGCCTCTGCCACAAACAGTGCACGGTGCAGGACTACTTTTGATTAAGGACACGCATTTTTCCAATGGCCAGTGATTCAGTGAGGCTAGAGTCAGTATTACCCCCAAACCTATGAAATGGCTAGAAATAAATTCCCAGATCTAGCTCAACACTAATTAGCGTTAGAAAGAGATGACTATGTATAAAAAACATCCCCTTGCTCGCTAAAGGAAAACACCCCAGGAGTTCAGAGTCCTGAGTAGTGAGTAATGTTTTCCCCAGGGTGACACAAAATTCTTTTCTCCAGCATGTAATCACTAAGAGACACAATTACCAAGCCTTATCCAAGGAACCTAATAAGAATCTATACAGCATTGGCCTGCTAAACCCAGGGTTGTGAGTTCAATCCTTGAGGGGGCCATTTAGGGATCTGGGGCAAAAATTGGGGATTGATCCTGCTTTGAGCAGGGGGTTGGACTAGATGACCTCCTGAGGTCCCTTCCAACCTGATATTCTATGATTCTATGTTGCTTTGACATGGCATAACACATGAAGTTCTTGGGTAGCCAAGGCAATAAGCCATACCAGAAGAACCTTGTAAGAAGCATGTGCACTTCACTGGTCGGTTGACTGTAGCTGCAAGGGAAAAGAATCAGAGAAGCCCTTGCAAAAGCATTTCCCAAACCACTTTGCTAACCCTGACCTCACTGACCAGCCCTCGGAAGCAGGAAACACAACTGCTGCCACCTTACAAAAAACATCCTCTAGTGAAACAATTCCCCTGTTTCATTACATTGCTATATGTATATATGCTCTTCCTGCATCTGTTACTGCTGAGGATAGTTGCCTGGCCACTTAGATCTTCATAAATAAGCTGCCTCCTTCTGTTTCTTTCCCCTGCACCTCTTATGTCACCATCTTCCATTTGTATCACAACCACCACAACAGTAACTTCTTCAGTCAGAAAGGAAAGCAGGAGCTTGACTTTTATACACGAACTCTGTGGGATCACCACGCTTTAAGGACAAGCTAAGAGACATGGGTTTAGCTCATCCTCTATCCCCCGAACACGTTTGGAAACAGAGTTTCTGTAAGTAAGTATATATTAATAGGGTGACAGACCAAGACCAGTAGACCCAAAAGTAAGCTGAGCTCCCATCGTTAATACACTGCCATTCATGGAGACAGAACGCATAGGTCTGCAAGCTGAGAGATGGTTTATATTGTAGGCAGCTTGATAGCTAGGCAAAACAGGACAAGGCTGAAAGAGCAGATAAAGAAAGCTTATGCTCAAATAAATGTGTTAGTCTCTAAGGTGCCACAAGTACGCCTTTTCTTTTTGTGGATACAGACTAACATGGCTGCTACTCTGAAACCAGATAAAGATTGAATTTTAGCCTCAAACTGGTTCCTGCCTTCATTCTGTTTTAAAGGGTGATCAACTGGCAGTCCTTTAGCACTGGTAGGCTATAAAAACCTTAGAAAATCATTACAGAGACTAGATCAGCCTCAGTTTCTAGTCAAAAGAAAAGGAGTACTTGTGGCACCTTAGAGACTAACCAATTTATTTGAGCATGAGCTGAAGTGAGCTGTGGCTCACGAAAGCTCATGCTCAAATAAATTGGTTAGTCTCTAAGGTGCCACAAGTACTCCTTTTCTTTTTGCGAATACAGACTAACACGGCTGTTCCTCTGAAACCAGTTTCTAGTCAGCTGCTCTCAACTGGATGAGAGAGGTGAGGGCCTGACCCCACAGAGCTGTGCCGTTGTTCATGCTGGAATGTCCTCCTTTGAATCCCTCAAGGCTACCTATAGTGTAAAAAAAATAAAAGTTAATACAGACCTCACAGTGTATGTAGTGGAGAGGCTGCAGTGTCTAAAGAAACCCTGGGTAAGCCAATTCACCCTCTGTGCCTGTCTTGTTTGTCTAGGCAAGTTCTTTGGCGCAGGGGTTGTTTGCACAGTACCCAAAATAATTGGGGCTTGATCTCTGTCAGGGTCTCTATACCAGCCAATTACATGGCCTGTATATCTCTCCCTTGTCTCACTGCCATCCTTTTAAATGGATGGCTCTTTATAGCAGGGCCATGCCTAGCCCAGTTTGGTTGCTCTATAAATAAAACCCCTTCTTCCCTGAGAGTTTTGCTATTGACTTCCTTACAAGTGGTTACATCAGACAAAAGGGAAACTAGTGTTTGCAAGCCTGGACAGTCATTAAAGCTAGGATTAAGCATGAAGGGGCTTCATGTATCTACTCTTACATTGCCAGGCCAAGAGGTATGCAGCAGATTAATGCCTCTGCTAACTGCCTTTTGCAGATAATGTAGCTACTATCAATCAGTTTTGCTTATAATGAGGGTTTAATTATGCTAGGTACCAGATTCCTGGGAAGTTTTAGCATGGATAGGAGCATGTAAGATTAAAAATGACAAGTGCCTTGTGACAGACTTCAGTTCTGCTTGGGGCACATCATCTCACCCCACACAAGATCAGAGCTCCCAGGGTTACATCTTATTACTAGAGTGTAGGGCAGGATAGAGAGCTACTGTAACTCCTCTTCCACCCTCTCCCCCCTTCTGGCATGACCTTGCTGGGGAGCCTGCTCATGTCATTACCTCCATGCTTGATTTGCAGAGCTGTTTAGCAACCTGCAGTTGGAGGTGTGGGTGCTCAGTTCTGCATTACACCGTCATCTGTGTCCTAGGGCCACTAGGGAGTTGCAAGTGGAGAGAAGTGTAGTGAACAGAAGGGAAATGAAGTCAGCTCCGGTCCATTCCTGGCTGCTGGGTTTAAGCAGCCCTTTAACCCCACAAGGAAACTATTCTGCCCCTTACAGATCTGAGGGCACAATAGGAGAGATTCAGTGTGACAGCAACATGCCTCTGCTTTTTGGCTGTAGCAGACCTACCCACACCCTTCTTCCTCCTCCCCACAATGGGCCAGGAGGAGGATTGCTTTAATTTCACTATGACAGTAGTATTGGCCATCTCTGCTTGGATTCTTCTAGGAGCAAGCAGATGGAAGTGGAAGCAGAACAAGGAGTGCATACACAGTTTAAGGACACAAACTGGTCACCCCGGTGAAGTCTGCCTGCTTTAGCCTAGTGGCACCTAATGGCTCAGGACTGGCCTTTGGTAGGATCTAAGGAATGAAGCGGAGAAGGTTCCAGGAGAGTCTTGCTGTAGGCTCTGGAGTAGGTGCAGCCAGTGTGAGCTCTGCACCACATCTTGAGCTTGCCTTCCCACCCACCCTCACTCCAGCTGGGAATGGGTGTTCTCCCCAAACCCAGTAGCTGGACATGATCCACGTGTGCAGTGAAGTGAGAAAAAGTCAACAACAGCCAAGCCTCTATTGTGTGCACTTTTATTTGAACTGGTCTTAAGTCAGTGTACAGATAGCCCCTCCCCTCCCCCACATACTGGCACCATTTCTCATTGGACTATCAAGGGGCACTGTAAAGCCTTCATTCACATCTAGAATTGGGGAACACAGCCCATTTGCTTGACCAAAAAAATCAAAGAAAGGATCAAGTGTGTTTTGTTTTAAGGCGGCAGATACAAAGACACTTGTTGGGTTACATAATTTACCGACAAGCATTACTCTAACACCTTCATTATGGCATTAGCTCCTTCAAGCTGGGCTGCTACCTCCACAGAGGCAAGTAACTTCCTGTAACAATGCATTATGCAATATTTGGAATGACTATTAAAAAACAAATGTACAATCAAAGTCCTGATGCATTGTAGAACTTTGGGGACGTTCGCGCCAACACGTTAAGACTGCTGCTGTCACCTTCACCATTCCAGTTTTTAAATCCTGAGTCAAGCGCCAAAAAAAACAAATAAAGCCATGCCAATCTCATCTTGTTTTATGCGCAATTATGGGTTTTATCAAAGGTGGGATGTGGTAACAGTCCGGTTTAAAAGCATTTGCGGTGGACAATGGATGGTCCGGATTCGTCGTACTCCTGCTTGCTGATCCACATCTGCTGGAAGGTGGACAGAGAGGCAAGGATGGAGCCACCAATCCAGACAGAATACTTGCGCTCAGGGGGGGCAATGATCTGTAGGAGACAAGAAAGTTAAATGCTTGTATCAGTTGCCAACCACCACCACTGATGCTATTCGAGCTGGATCAGTTTGGGTGATATCCAACAGGGCACACCCCTTCCGAAGTGCTTCCGCAACTTAATGAAAACCTTTGGTTCACTAAATAACGATTAAGACCAGGCCTGTTGCAAGCCACTAGATTTGCCACATTAAAAGACCCACAGTAGCCTGAATTCACTTTTCACCACCATATGGCATTAATGGTGAACAATGTTTGAGTGGCAACATCCCACATATGTTCAAGTTCGGAACAGTATTCTTTGTCAGCCCATTTGCACCAGGGCTTCTGGCCAAGGAAGACTATTCACATGGTGGTACTAACATCACCTGCCCCAGAAATTGTGGTACCACTGTCAACAAAATACCATCTAAGATATCTATGATTTGAACTCATGGCTTCTTCTATCCCAGGGACTTAACTCTTAATTAGGACAACCCCACCCACTGCTGGAACATGAGCAGAGAGCATAAGTTCTGGAGTCTCCAACATACCTTAATTTTCATTGTGCTAGGTGCCAGGGCTGTGATCTCCTTCTGCATTCTGTCAGCAATGCCTGGGTACATGGTGGTACCACCAGACAGCACGGTGTTGGCGTACAGGTCTTTACGGATATCCACATCGCACTTCATGATGGAGTTGAAGGTAGTTTCATGGATGCCACAGGATTCCATACCTAAAAGGAAGGAAGCAATAGTAAGGTCAGTAAGATACCAACTAGCTAATCACAACCTAAAATAGTGTAATTTAGCACGCACTAAGACTGCCTCAAACATACATCACGCAGAATCCAGCACTGGATAGAGGCAAGTGCTCCTTTCAGCCAAGAAGAGATCTCTTGCTTGGCTTCACAACACTTACAATTATTCTAGACCCATTGTGTGGTAAGCTATGGGCCATTCAGAGTCACTTCATGGGGAGGAGACTTCACCACTAAAGCTTGGTGGGTATAGTTTGCCCATCCCACCCTCTCCTACACAATGGAGACTTACCCAAGAAAGATGGTTGGAAGAGGGCTTCTGGGCACCTGAACCTCTCGTTGCCAATGGTGATCACCTGACCGTCAGGGAGTTCATAGCTCTTCTCCAGGGAAGAGCTAGACGCAGCGGTGGCCATCTCCTGTTCGAAGTCCAGAGCAACGTAGCACAGCTTTTCCTTGATGTCACGCACGATTTCCCTTTCGGCTGTGGTGGTGAAACTGTAGCCTCTCTCTGTCAGGATCTTCATGAGGTAGTCCGTCAGATCACGGCCAGCCAGATCCAGACGGAGGATGGCGTGGGGGAGGGCATAACCTTCATAGATGGGCACAGTGTGGGTGACACCATCACCAGAGTCCATCACAATACCAGTGGTACGACCAGAGGCGTACAGGGACAACACAGCCTGAATGGCTACGTACATGGCTGGGGTGTTGAAGGTCTCAAACATGATCTGTGGACATAAAAGAGGTTAAGTTGACAGGATGTGACCAAGAGGCTCAATCAGCACTCACAAGAAACAGTTTGCAGCAAGTCATGCAAATGTCCTTATGCTGCAGAGTGTGGCGTCTGCAGACTCAGGATTTGGTCTTCTGGAATAGGAGACCGTACCAATCAGCTCTGAGCTCACAGCAAACCCACCAACCCAAGCTCAAACCTTGGAAAGATGAATGGAAAATATGGACTAATGCAGCTGCAACACAGCAACTGTTGCTATCCACATCTTAGCTTTCTCACAAGCTCTAGAAAGCTATGTTACAGAAGTCACTCAGGGCAGGTGAATGGGTTAGTGTCACGTTAGAAACAGCAGTTAAATGAGTTGCTAGTTTAAAGTCAGCAAGAGGAAAAACCAGCTTAGGAAGAGCAAATAAAACCTGTCAAGATCCAGCAAAGAGAAGACTCAGGTCAGGAAAGGAAAACCCTGTAGAGAATAGCAAAGGAAAAAAGATGAAAGCACGCAAGGGAGGAATGCTGGCCAGCGGATCTCAAGTCAGCTGGAGCCAAATGATGGAGACTGGGGACCAAAGCCCTCTTACACACCTGTGTCATCTTCTCTCTGTTGGCCTTGGGGTTCAGGGGAGCCTCTGTGAGCAGCACAGGGTGCTCCTCAGGGGCAACTCTGAGTTCATTGTAGAAGGTGTGGTGCCAGATCTTCTCCATGTCATCCCAGTTGGTGACGATACCGTGTTCGATGGGGTATTTCAGGGTCAGGATACCTCTTTTACTTTGGGCTTCATCACCAACATAGCTGTCTTTCTGGCCCATACCAACCATCACACCCTGGAGAGAGAAAAGTCAGAGCCGATTAGTCAAACTTGATCCACCAACTCTGAAGACAATCCATTGGCTGACTAAACCCCAGGCCTGTTCCTCAGCCATGGCAGCTAGCGTTCTCTTTAGGTTACAGGACCTAGGAAGCCAGGCCATAGGTACAAAACTTCCCCATCCCAGTAGAGATGGGAAGTTTTACTGGCTGACAGTAAGATGAACCAAGCTAGGTCATTTCTTTTCGCTCCTACACAGCCATGCATCTGTGTGTACACAGAGGACAGAGATCAGAGACACTATGCAGTGTTTTCTTCTGAGCTTTAGGATTCATCGCACAAGACAGGCAAGGTGCTACTCCATTACATACCTGATGTCTGGGGCGACCAACGATGGATGGAAAGACAGCGCGAGGGGCATCATCCCCAGCAAAACCGGCTTTGCACATACCGGAGCCGTTGTCAACAACAAGCGCAGCAATATCATCGTCCATGGTGAACTGTAAAGGAATGAGAATGTCAGCAAGCTTGATTAGCTGGGTAACAGATGTTGCCCTTTAGTTTATTGAAGTCTCCCTATGCTCCAGGGTTTCTGGAAAATAAACTTGTAATAGCAGCGAGTGTCTCATGGTTTGGGAGGAAAACCCCATGCAGTAAGATTAAACCATTTGCTTGTGCGCCACCCATTTCCTTTCTCACTTCCTGTTTGCAAGCTGCTGGACTTCTCCCTTTCAGCCACTAGATGGTGCAAAGCACTGCATATTTTGCCTTTGCACAGATTTGGGACAAAGGAAGTCCCTGCTCTAGTCTCACATTATTACCATAAAAGGCAATGGTTAGAGCAAGCTTTGCAAGAAGCCAGTAGTGCAGTATGTAGCCAGCTTTTGGTGGACTGATTAAGGAGACAAGCCACTCCCCTCCCTTTTCAAATGAGGCATATGGCTGTGGCCACTCCCTGCAAGAGGGAGTGTGCCTGGTACCAGCACTAGGGGTGTCTGAAGCACAGGGTTAAGAGGACAACTGAACCAGTTTAAAAAGGGGAAGTTACCCACACCCTGCTTCAGAGAAGCAGCATGTCCCTGGATCCCACCCTGTTGGGCACACTGGCTCTATGACTAGTTAGACCAGTCATGCGAGCAATTGCATTAGCTTTCACAGATCATTTTGAAATAGTCTCCCACTGACCTAACCCTAAGAAAGAAGCCTGCTTTATATACATTTAATTAGCTAGCCAAGTTTAATTGCAGGTTCCCCACCAGCCTCAAAACCCTTTACATTTCAGACACTGATGAATATGCCGATGCCAGAGGATTAAGACAATGCTATTATGCAATTCACACACACTGGCAAGGAGAACTCAGTAAGTACTGAGACTAAAGTGCCAGGTTTAGAGCAGCAGCTCCACCAGTTAACTGAAGACTCAGATTCTCCCCACCTGTGCCTGCCCCCCCCTTGTACCAACCTAACAAGGTTGCTCTGGGAACCTAGTTCCTTCACCCCACTGTCTGGGGAGGGAAGCAAGGCTTGGCAGGGATGAATCCTGGTTTTTTTGAAAATGCATTTTAAACCAAACTAGCAATAAAACACCACATCTCTTCCCCCTATTCTCAGGCAGAATAACCCTTGATCTGTGCACCAAGGCCAGAGACACTAGCCATCTGGACCCACCGGGACCCCACTCCTTCCCAGACACTAGGGACAATGCCCTCAGCAGAATCAGGTTTCAGATCATTCTTCCTGGATCCACCGACCCCTTAGAGCCCCCTAAGAAAAAGGTGTCTCCAGTGTAACCACCGCATAGGATGGATGGATGGTGCGGGGGGGGGGGGAAGAGAAGCAGCAGCCACCTCTCAGAAAGAGCCAGTGTGCCTTCAACAAGACAAAGAGACCCCCTCCTCCCCGCCTATGGGCCGGGAGACTGATTCATGGCTTTCCCCCCTCCCCATCCTGGGCAGGGAGGATCCTCCCTCTGCCTCCCCCACCCTCACCCAGCATGTGCTGAGCTGATACAATAGGAGTACCGGCTTTCTGCCACCGGAAGCAGCAGCTCTGGAGTCACACCCTACCAGCTCTATGGGGCAGCGAACAGATCTCCCTTTCCAAAGGGGTTGGACGAATCCTGGGGGGGAAAAGGGGCTGAGAGACACTCGCCCAAGCCCCTCTTTTGGGCAGCAACAGTGGCCCACCAAACCCACCACTTCCCTCCCCTTCTTAAACCATGTAAAGCTTTGGACTCCCTTCCTCCTCCAGCCTCTAGTCCAACATCAAATCCCTCTTAGGCACCGAAGCAAGCAAACCAGATCACAGCCCCAGAGCCGTGTCAGCAACACTGCAAGCCAAGAGACACTCTACACCCACAAACTCAGATTAACTGGAGGCAAACTCCACCGCACCCCCCCCCCAACCTCCCCTGGTCACAGCCATGCAAAAGAATCCGTGGATCCATCCCCCCTTTGTACAAGCTCACCATGCAGTCCATCCCCACTTCCAGCTACGGCCGTGGACAAGGAAGATCGCGCCCCTCCATGCTCAGCCCTTCCCATTTTGGTTTGTGCACTTTAGCTTTGCACACCAAGAGCGAGCCTCTCCCCAGAAAAGGAGCAGCCCCTACATAAATCTTGCAAGAAAAAAAAACAAAGCAACCCCATAACAGCCTTCCAAGGGCTTTCCCTTGGGGGGGGGGGCATTAGACAGCCGCAGCGTTTAGCTGGAAGCCATCCGCATTCAGCCCCTCTTGGGGGGCTTTTCGATGGGGCAAGAGCAGTGAAATCGAGTCCCCTCTAGCTAAGAAGGGGGCCCTCAGAAACCCAGCCCGTCCTCTGTGCGCCCCCCCCCAAGGAAAGCGGCTCTGAGGAGGGCTCCTGCCCCCCTTCCCTTACCTGGAGGAAGTTGCAAGTTTAAACCCTAGGCGAAGAGAGGCGGCTCGGCTGGCTGGGGGGGAACGTGGCGCGTGCAGAAGGAGCTCACAGCGACTCCAGCCCGCCTCGCGAGCCGGGTTTTATGGGGCCAGAGCGGTAGCGCCCTAGCCATAAAAGGCAACTTTCGGAGCTAGCCCTTCTGATTGGCCGGGCCGCTGCCTCTCCCGAGCCGCTTTGCACATTGCAGCAGGGCTTTTTTTTTTTTTTTTTTTTTTCCCCTCCCCTCTTGAAAAAAAAAAAAAAAGAGAGAGAGAGAGAGAGCAGGAGGGGTGGGGGAGGGCTGCTCCTGGCTGCCTGTGGGTGCAGTAGCCAGGCTGCTCCTTTCCAGGCTTGAGCCCACGCTCAGTGCCATAGCAATGCAGGGTGGATTCATAACGAAACGTGCAGGCAGAGGCTGCCTTGCTGCCCTGCCCGTGCACCAGCCTCTTTCCTGGGGGGGGGAAGGGTTCTAGTGGCCCAGGCCACTGTGGCTCGCCAGGGCCTGGGGGTCTTACTGTCTCCCACCCCACCCGCCTGCTACCGATTCCTGGCCGCCCTTGACGGAGCGTGGCGTGCTTGGTCGTGTGGCGCCCGGTGCCCCACAGCTGTCCCCTTCAAATAACCTCCCCGCCTCGGCACTCCAGTGAAAAAGAGGTTATCTAGAGCCTGAGCCTGCGAACGCTGCAGGGGGCTGGCTACTGGAAGAAATGCCTGGCCTCCACTGGGGCCACACGCCACTCAGCTGCGAATGGGCCCTGAGACTGCAAGGTCTTCTGGACCGGAACCTTAGAGCCACTTCTCTGGCCTAGCTGAGGTCCCCCTCAGTGCAGGAAGGGGTTAAAGGCCAAGGCGGCTTACTCTGGGGATGTCCAATGGGCCTTCCTGGTCCCCCAGGCTAAATTAGAGTAGCCTCAGGCAGCAGCAGAGTTCCTGTCCCCAACTGTACCCCTGGAATATCCCCTACACCCCAAGCTGTGAAAAGGCATGGCCTACAGCTGGTTATATCCGCTTATACTAGGGGTACTCCTAGTGGGCAGAGCTGCTGTCTTTATGGCCCATTTATGCTGGGAAAGCAGCACCAAGAGGTCATAGGGCAAAGGAAAATTGGACCCTATTGTCCATATGCTGGATTGTTAACATGCCTTTGGCACCAGGCAAGTAATAATCATCCAGAACAGATTCCAATTTAAAATTGAATTTAAGGGGCAAATTCACCCCCACAAGGCAGTGGACATAATGGAGCTGCTCTTGCTGCCATCATTGGTAAAGGTGGCCCTTTAACTCACCCACCCAAGGAGTATTACGGTAACTTACAAAAACTGTGACAGGTCTTTGTATTAAGATTGAATTTGCTGTAAATGTGCGATATGGTACCAGCACCTGATCTGCTTGCTCCCTGTGTCACAGTGGGAGTTAGGCACCTAAATATCTTTCAGAGTAGCAGCCGTGTTAGTCTGTATTTGCAAAAAGAAAAGGAGGACTTGTGGCACCTTAGCGACTAACAAATTTATTTGAGCACAAGCTTTCGTGAGCTACAGCTCACTTCATCGGATGCCACAAGTACTCCTTTTCTTTTTTCTAAATACCTTTGTGAATCCCACCCACTGGGGGCAGGTCTACACTTAAAAATCTGCACCGGTGAGGCTATGCCATTGGAGTGCTTCAGTGAATATGATACTATGTCAACAAGAGAGCTTCTCCAGTCTGTGTAATGAATCCACCTCCGCGAGAGACAGTCGCTTATGTCAACGGGAGAAGCCCCCCATCGGCATAGCAGTGTCTACACTGGGGATAGGTTGGTATGATTGTCGCTCAGGGCGTGTATAGTGCAGGCCTGGCCTGAGTAGTGCTTAGTGATTGTTGTCTTAGGCCTTGATCCTGGCCTGAGCTCTCTGCAGATGGAGGCCTGCAGCCACTCATTTGCACACAGGTCATTGTAGGATCAGACTTAGCTGGATCTTGGGAGTTCTTGTTCCTTTTCCATTTAGCTGTTTGGTGCCGAGCTAAACGTGTCTTTGTGTGAACCGTTCCTCACTGCGTTGTATTTCTGCAGTTCTGGGTTTCATTATTATAATAAAACATCATTTCAAAATACAGGTTAGGCCATCATAACAGTAACAATACCCAGCAATTACATAGCACTTTGCATCTTCAAAGCACTGTACAAACTTTAAGTAATTAATCAAGTTAATTAAACAGTAGCGTAAGTAAAGTGTCAGCCTCAACTCACAATCTGTTGCAGTTGGCAGCACAGACTTACTGTTACTTAAATGTAGGTCCTTTCAGATTTAATCCCAGTGGTTTAAAACACAAAATCCCCTGGAAAATGCTAACAATGTGTGCTATTTATCAGACACCTCCAACTGGTACCTTTAAGCCGGGATGCCCCAAAGGAGCGTGGCCCTGATCATATGGTTAGGTGAGGCTCAGGTGCAGAGGGACAACGGGGTGATGGGGTACCACGTCATGGGAAGGGCTGCTGGGACAGTTTTACAGCCTGTTCCTTGAAAGCCCTTTGTCACAGGAAAGTCAAGGAGATTACTCAGGTGAATAAAGACTACCTGAGTAGAGGTGTGCAGGACTGGGCCTTCATTCAATTAACAGGATGCCTGAAGGGAATTGCTGTTCCGGCCATTTAACGTTGATCCTGCAGGCTGAGGGTTTTGTTTTGTTTTTTTTGGTGGGGGAGGGGTAAGTACATTATCTCCCCAGGTAAGATGTATCATGGCATCTGTGCTATGTGGAACAAACAAGGGAAGAAAGCAGCAGGGAAAGCTGTGTAAACAGCTTCAAAACAGAGCTCTGTAGTTGCTTGGGGAGGGGGATACCATGGGATATAACAACTGTATCAACCCATTTATGGATTGGGCCAGGATCTTGTTCCCATCCTATCATTTCCTATGTTGCTTTCCTATGTTCTATTTCTTTGAATTCACCCCTGTGCAGAGGGTCTGTGCCCAGCAGTAGCCCTGTATGGGGCCAGAATCCAGAATCCTGCAGGATTCTCAGAGGAGTTGGGAAGGGCTGGTGGCATCAGGCCTTGGTTCCTTTCTTCTTCCTGTGGCTTAGTGCTGAGGTGCCCAGAGAACAGCCTGTGGGGCCAATGGCTTCCTAAGAGGGGGGAAGACACACTGATCCACTGCAGGATTGTATTGCTGGTGAACTCAAGCCACAAGCGATTTCTAGTCATGTGTCAAGGGCATGATAGCCAGGAGAAAATATTAAGCAAGCTCAGGTTCCTGGTAAATGGGCAGTGTGCCCCCCAGACTCACAGTGCATGGAGCCCCTTGTTTTGAGGGAGCTCTTTTCTTAAGACAGGGGTGGAAAGGGCTGCATCCGCCCCAGGTAGCACCAGGAGAACTGCTGCTGCTGCCACCAACAGCCATCGTGGGTAGGAGGAAGGTGGGGGCTGAGAGGAGGGTATCTTTGTCTCATAGCTGTAAAAGGACCATCCTGCTCCACCACACGGCGGATGCTCTGTTCCAAACTCTGTGCTGGCTTGGGTCACATTGCCATGTAGAAAGGTTGGACCAGACTCTGCCCTCGGCTTCGCTGGTGCAAATCCAGAGTAATTCCAGGGCAATCAATGGAGCGCCTCCAGATTTACATGGGTGTCATTGAGAGCAGAATGTGGCCCTTTGTGTTATTACTGTGCTCTTAGCTATGAGGGGGTTCCCCTGGGTCTGTACTAGCTTTGTTAGGCTCTGAAGATACACACAGTGTGCACCCTATCCAGGAGAACCCATATGGTATCAAGAACCTGCCTAAAGGAACATGAGTATGCCACATGAACCTGACAACCACATTCCATGCATATTGCACCATGAATGTGCTCTGTTAATTACGCTATGCAGGGAAACCCATAAGCCACAATAGACCACTGGTGTATGCACTATGGATGGGCTCTTAAATGATACTGTGATCATATACACGTGCAAAGAGGCACTCCGCTTACACTGATAATGTTCTTACAAACCTACTCTAGATCTCCTCTTATGAACATACAGAATACAGCCTGGTGAGTGCAAAAGCACCTTGCCAAAAATGTCCAGCTATAAGGAATGAAATAAAGGTTACTTAAAAACCTCAGGGTTTTCCTTAAGGAGGGGTGGAGAGGGGAAAGAGGGGGCTGAGCATAGGAATTTAAGGACCAGGCACTCCTGAGCTCAAATCCTGACTCTGCCATTGACTTTCTCTGTGACTTTAGGCAAGTCCCTTAATCTGTCTGTGTCTCAGCTTCCTCATCAGTAAAATGGGGCTAATTGGTTAATTCCCTACCTCCTAAGGGAATAATTAATGCACTGCTTTGAAAAGACTGCTTGGTGAGTACTATCTGTCAAATAGGAGATGTTCCACGGCCTGGATGAATGATGGCTGCCAAGGAGTAAATGAGGCAAGGGGAAAGGTTACATGGGAGAGTTGATAAGGGACCAGAAAAAGCACTACCATTTGTTGGGGGAAGGGAACAGAGAACTCCCATAGTAGGGACTGTGAAGGAGGCTGACATGGTCAACATCTGCTTTGTTGCTGTTCTCAGCAACAAAGGATGAAAGGAGCAGGGGGCTCAGGCAGATAAATGTTAATGAGGCACTAGAAACATCAGGATTCATAAGAGGCAAGTGAAAGACTCCTGAGATAAGAAGTGTATCAGTCAGCAGGCCAGATGCAATTCATCAGCCCTGCAGAGGGATTGAGCAGAGGAGTCACCAAGCTCCCCTGTATTTGGGGAGTCATGCTGAGAGGGCGAGGTGTGATGGGGGATGGCAGATGTAGGTTGGATCATTTAGAAGGAAGGGGAAATACCTGCCCGATAGAATCACCTAACATCCAGGAATATTGGAGCAAATCATAAAGCAATTTGGAAACACTGGAAAAACAATAACAAAACCCCTGAACCTTAAATCCTTTTCATGCAATGGGAATTTTGCCTGCACAAGGAGTGGGCCCATAATAAGTAGTTAGCAGCATGGCTTCGGTCATTTCCTTTGAGGTAGAGAAAAGCCAGGGTTCAAGTCTCCTGAATACAAAGTGGATTCTTTACTGAGGCTGCTGATCACAGACAGATAGCAAGGTCCTCTCCACACCAGACTGACTAGTACCACGTGTACTGCCAAGGAAGGGACTGGCG